TTTCATTTCGCACTGTGAGAAATAGGAAATTTCCCATTTAAAAGTAGACGGAGTAAGGTAAGCTACAATACCTTATAACTTACCGTTTATAATGTTTTAGTAATTAATTAAGTTCAATAAAAGAATAAGAAAAATTTATAAGCTCATATTGTGATTATTGTCCTATTATTTTTTCCCAAACTAGATCATTTGATAGTTGTGAATTGAGGCATATACACTAAAAGAATATGTAGTTAGTTGTAGTATAACTTCAAGTAAAATTGTTACCCCACAATTTTCTCATTCATTGGTTTCTCGCTTTGTTCAATTTTTGAGTAAGCGAAACGGAACTTACAAACAATTCCAACTAGGGGTGAGCAAGACCGGGTACCCGGTCATATTTGTAATACCCGGATCCGGAACCGGTTATAACCGGGTCCCAAGAATTGGAACTGGTCCCGGAACCGGTTAATACCGGATCCAAATTTTTTGGAACTGGTCCCGGACCCGGTAGGAACCGGTTCCAAGACCGGGTACCCGGTATTATTCAACGTAGTAAAATACTGTTTTTTTCTTTATAATTGTTATATAATATATTATTATATATAATGGAATTTTGCAGGCTAGTTATATTAACATAATAATATCCCTAAATTAGTTTTGGAGGCTAGCAAAATACAAATATTTCAAAATACAAATATTACAAACTAATAAGCCAAAAAAGTACCAATTCAACAACCTAAAATATCAGTACAACAAACTTCAACAATGCTGCAAAGTCCAAACATCCAAACATAACCAAAACAACTACTTAAATAAAAGTTCAGAAAAAAAAAGGGAAGAAAAGGAAGGGCAGCAACAGGCAGCAGCTGAGCACACCATCAGCAGGCAGCAGCTGAGCACACCATCAGCCAGCAACAAGACCAGCAGCAAGTCAGCAACCATCTAAGCAACGGAGAAAGACAGCATACAGCAGACAACAAAGCAAAGAGGCAGCAGCCAACAAGGAAGCACAAATTCCCTATAAACAAAAGCCAAAATGTCCTTAGAATATTTGTCATTTGATATCTTTTCATACAATATAATTAAGAATACAATTATACAAACCTTTGTCACATCAATTATTTCCAACAAATTCATTAACTTGTGTGATGCCAGTGTCACTACCATCCAATTCTAAAAAAAACAGTAAACAATATAAGTAATAAACTTAGAGAAATAAAATAGATAAATATACAAAATAATAGAAGTATTAGTGTATTACCTTCTTCATATTTTTGAACATCCTCAAGGAAGCGCTCAATATCAATGCATACATTTGACGCCCTTAACCAATCTTGAGTACAAACTAAAGCTTCCACCATATTTGGCCCCAAACTACTACGAAATTGATCAAGTATGCGACCCGATGTACTAAATGCGGATTCACTAGAAACCGTAGAAATTGGTATAGCCAAAATGTCCTTAGCCAATGTTGACAATACTTTGTATTTGTCACTTTTTTCTTTCCACCAACCCAAAATATCAAACATTTCCCCTTCAACCCTTCTCTCCCGAGCTTCTTCAAGATAATAATCCAATTCACTTTTTTCAACAATAAAATCACTTTCTTCCTCATCAAAATCATCATAAAACTTTTTCATTTGCTCACTATTTGAAGAGCTCAAGTTTTCAGAACCATTATCCACATTGGCAACATTAATATTACGATTATTCTTGGAAGAGGAAGAAGCAATAATAGCATCATAATGGTTAAATAACTTCTGAACATTGTCATACAAATTGTCACAAATAACATCGACTTTGGCAAAGTCGTTAGGATAAAGTTTTTTAAAAGAATACTTCAAAAACCTAAGCTTATATCGAGGATCTAAAACAACCGCAACTAACATCATGATATTAGTTTTACCGAGATCCCCATAATACTTATCAAACTTTTCCCTCATTTGTCTACCCATAATACGAATATCCATATTTGTAGAGTTTTCCCATTCTATCAAACAACTTAACACCTCCAAAACCTCGTGAAAATACAAGTTTGTAGTAACATATAAACTACCCGACATTTTCTTTGTAGACTCATAAAATAATTTCAAACACAAAGACAACACTTTAGCATTTACCCAATCTTCTTGTGTAGGTACTCCATCCTTGAGTTCCCTACTAAAATCAGGATCATCTTCCGCAAACCTATTAAAAGCTTTTTCAAATTTCAATGCGGTTTCAAGCATGAGAAAGGTAGAATTCCATCTAGTTGCCACATCAAGACAAACTGAACCTTTACAAGAAACTTTAACCAACATAGAAGAGTGTGCAAACAATTTAGCTCTAGAAGGTGAACTCCTCACATATCTAACAGCAGCACGAATTCGAGCAATCGAAGACTTCACACTAGATAAACCATCTTTCACAATCAAATTTAGAACATGACAAGCACATCTCATATGAAAAAATGAACCCTCCAAAACAAGTTTATCATGAAAATGTGTTTTCAAATATCCAACCGCCACATCATTTGAACTAGCATTATCAACAGTTAAAGAAAACAATCGATCCTCAATCTCCCATTTAAGAATACATGCCTCCACAACTTTTCCAATTTCCTTACCTTTATGACTATCCATTAATTGAAAATTTAAAATTCTTTTATGCAACTTCCAATTATCATCAATAAAATGAGCAGTCAAACAAAGATAATTAAAATTTTGAATGGAGGTCCAACAATCAGTTGTTAGTGACACTCTCGATTTCAAACACCCAATTAATTTCTTTAATTTTCCACTTTCACAAACAAATATATTCTTCACATCTCTTGCAACTGTAAAACGTGAAGGTATATGAAATTGAGGTACAGCAACACTACAAAAATACCTAAAACCTTCACGCTCAACAATAGAAAATGGTTGTTCATCAACAATAACCATTCTTGCCAAACCAAGTCTACAAGCAGTTTCATCAAATTTCCAATTAGAGACTATAGTAGCATCAGATTCAGGAGACTTGTAAACAGAAATGAGTTTTTGCTTTTTGTCTACATTTGGAGGGTATTTTGAACATGCACCAAGGTGTTTCTTTAATGAAGAAGTTCCATTATTAGTATTACCTGTTAGCATTTTCTCACAATATTTGCATTTGACTTGAACAATTTTTTTGGTTACTGGATCTCTAAAATCCCAAAAATGGTTCCAGTATTCAGACTTCCTCTTGTCACCAACCTTGGTTGATTTGGTTGTTGCATTCTCGTTTCCAACCTCACTTTCATCATCCATAGGGACTGACGAATTGTCGGTATTGCTCATAGTTCTGAAATAGGAACAAATTAAACTTTAATAAGACATAAACATTACACAAAGTACTATTCTCATTAATCTGCAAATTGGGCCTCATTAATCAACACACTAAGTCACTATTCTCACTAACACAGCAAGCAGTGCAAATTAACAAATATAACAGCAAACAAATTTAGTCCAATTCATACAAAGTACAAAGTCTACAAACCAATCCAAATCATACAAACTTAAGTTTTCAGTTTAAATAACAAACTAACAAAGTATCAAATCAAACCAATCAATCCATACAAACTCAAATTAAACAAGTTTTAACAGAACTACTTAAGTTAAACATAACATGATCAACATTCAGCAACATTACAGCCAGCAGAACAGCAGAACAATAGCAGCAGCCAGCAGAATAGATCAATCCAGCAGGCAGCAAAGCAGTAGCAACAGAACAGCAGAACAGTAGCAACAGAACAGCAGAACAGTAGCAGCAGCCAGCAGAACATCAAAACAGTAGGCCAGTAGCAGCAGATCAACACAGCAGTAGCAGCACAGAGCAATCACTCAAGTATTTCGACCACTTCATCAATTTTAGCATCACCAATTGCCATATTCTTCACAAATTAAAATGTAGCAAGTAAAATCGCAAGTTAAAATCGCAAATTAAAATCGCAATTCACAATTGAACATGCAGTAGCAACGATTAGTATTTAGTACTTTAGTAGGAGAAGACAGGAGAGAGCAAGTAAGTAGAGAAACGATTAAAATCGCAAATTGAATTCGCAAATTGCATATTTCATACCTTAATTAGTAGGAGAAGACAGGAGAGAGAGAAGCAGGTGGACCGTTGACGGTGGTCGCCTGGTGTCCTGGTGTACTGGACGGTGGTCGGAGACTCAGAGGAGACAGTCAGACGAGGGAGGACGAAAGAGTGGAGAAAGGCTGAGAGCGTGAGAGGTAGTGAGAGGATTAGAGGAATTAGGGTTTTTTTATTTTTTCATTATATACCTAGGGTATTTAGTTTTGGGCCAGATTGGGCTTATAATTCAGTTTGGTTCGGTTTTGTTCGGTTCCGGTTCCGGGTACCCGGATTGTCTGGATCCGGGACCGGGTACCCGAAACTGGAATTGGTTTAAACCGGGTACCCAGTGGGTACCGGGTCCGAAATTTTAGGACCCGGTCCCGGAACCGGTTACAACCGGGTCCGACATTTTGGACCCGGTCCCGGAACCGGTGGGACCAGTTCCGGGTCCGGACCCGGCGGATCCTAACCGGTTCCGGGTCCGGTACCGGGTACCCTGGGTCTTTGCTCACCCCTAATTCCAACACAAGATAAACATGATACTTGAAACGTGGAATAATTGTTACTTGAGTTCGTTCAACTTTCCAAAATTGTTTTGCTAATTAAGATGTTTTTATTTTATTTTTTATTTATTTTTAACTAGATAATCACAAAGTACTAAGTTGTTAACCTTGGAATAGTTCTTATTTATCCTTTTAGGTATTTTATCCTTATTATATCTTTATTAACTTTATTCAAGGAGCAAGCTAAGTACACTCATGTTCTTCATCCAATTTTAAAACCTAATCAAATGGCGAACACTCAAAATCACCCTCTTAACCAATGCCATGTTTACAAACTAAGGGCAATCCTTAATCGAACATATATCATTTTTCATATTATAGCCATAATATCCATTTTCTACTATAGAACAACTTTTTTTTCAACAAAATGGTGCACCAATGTTACCATGGACTGTTATATTTTCAGCCGAGGTTATGTTCTCATTCATGTGGATTCTCAGGCAACCCTTTTACTGGCGGCCAGTTACTCGAACGGTCTTTCCCGAGAAGGTGCCTAAGGATGAGGACTTACCTAGACTCGACGTGTTCATATGTACTGCTGATCATAATAGAGAGCCTACTTTTAAGGTTATGAACACCGTTGTATCAGCTATGTGCTTAGATTATCCTAGTGAAGAGTGTGTACTTGTCTGATGATGGAGGTGCATCTATTACTTTGAATGGTATGAAGGAGGCTTGGGTTTTCGCGACTTGGTGGCTACCATTTTGTAAGAGGTATAATGTTAAGCAAATATGTCCTCAAGCTTATTTTGAGGATTCACAAGAATTAAGTCTAAGTAAGGAGTTTATTGAAGATAGAAATTTAATTAAGTTTAGTTCTTTATTTTAGGGTTAATTATAATTTTAAGTTTTCTTCACTAATAAAAAAGAATTATATTATTATATATGATGATGATGATGATGAGAGTGAAGGAGAGCACAAGTGATTAGAGTTCCCCTTTTAGTTTTTGGTGATCATGGGATTGATTATAATATGACGTTGATTATTATTATGATATGATGATCTGATATGTATATGTAGGATAAATATGAGAGTTTCAAGCAGCGAGTGGTCAACTGGAAGGAAAGAGGTGACAATGATGCTAAGGGAAATGCATTCGATCATCCAGCCGTTATACAGGTTTTAATTTATCGTCTTTTCATTTAAATCATTTAGCCCTTATATATATATATATATATATATATATATATATATATATATATATATATATATATATATATATATATTTCGCAAATATAATGTATGAACATCAAGTCTAAAACTAAAGAACATAAGGTTTACAAAAAAAAATCCAATGAACATAAGAGTAATAGCGTAGCTAAGATTATGATATGTTCATTGGAGTTTATGTTGTACATGTTCATTAGATGTGCATTGTGCTTTAAACATGGACCGTCTCAAAATTATACGAAGTAAATCTTAATTTGGAGAAAAATTCGAATTACATGTCAGGTAATAAATGAGAACATCTTAGAAGATGATGCAGCAACGATAAATCCAGAAAGTATACGCATGCCTCTACTTGTTTACCTTGCTCGAGAAAAAAGACCAACTCAACCACATCACTTCAAAGCTGGAGCTCTTAATTCTCTGGTAAAATAGCATTATAGTTGCTTATTGAATTGTTACTTGCATTATTATAATAACAATCATATATATCAATGCAATTTACACAATTTTTTTGTGTTTGTGCATGAATTAAAGCTAAGGGTTTCAAGCACATTGAGTAATTCTCCCTACATCTTGGTTCTAGACTGTGACATGTACTGCAATGACCCGATTTCGGCCCGCCAAGCAATGTGTTTTCACCTTGATCCTAAGAGTTCTTCTTGGTTAGGTTGGGTTCAATACCCTCAAAAATTCCATAATATAAGTCAGAGTGACATCTATGACAGTCAGATGAGAGTAGCATGGCCGGTAAGTAGATCGATCTAAATTTACCTTTTAATTGCTCCCTTGATTTTTTTGGTTATGTAGATCACTTACAATTCATGGAGTCAAATTTATGACCATATTTTGTAATTTACATATTGTATGCCAGTATTATGTAAGATCTTGTTAGATTGATCCATTTAAATTTAATCGAGCTCAATGGTATATTATATTATAGGTACTTTGGTCAGGGATGGATGGACTTCAAGGGCCAACTCTATCTGGTTCAAATTTTTACATTAAGAGGAAGGCCTTGTTTGGCGATGACATTAACGTAATACATGGTGTGTTTGTTTTTTAATTTCTTCATCTTTGTCAAAATTCATGATATTGTTTACCATTATAAGAATACCTATCTACAAGGTGGTTTTATGATGATAAGACAGTCTTATTTAAAATTTGTACATTATTGTTCAAAAACATGACAATATTGTTTATTTCTTAAAGGTAATGACATCAAAGAATTGAAAGCGATTTTTGGTCCTTCAAATGAGTTCCTTAAATCTCTTGGAAAAAACTGCAAGCCAAATGCAATCAAAGAAAAGAAGCAAATTTCCTCTGTTTTTCTGCAAGAAGCTCAATCCTTAGCCTCTTGCTCTTATGAAGAGAGCACACAATGGGGTAAAAAGGCAAGTTATGTCACCATAAAATGTAAAACTTAAAAAGTATACAACTTTTTATTTTACTCCGATCCTATTACTCCATTTTTACATCTTACATCTATTCAGAATTAGTTGTCACATTGTCCAACTTGATTATGATATGCCAATTTTTCACAAAAATGACACTCTTTTTTTAATTGTATATAATACTCCATAGTTGTGATAGATGTAATGATTTCTTTCCTTAATGTTACATACATGTGGAAAATCAGGTAACATAATTAAGTTCAATCATTCATTGACAAAACTATGCTATTTGGCTTTATTATTGCCGTGTGCAGATTGGGTTTAACTATGAGTCAGTAGTAGAAGATGTGATGACTTCTTTTATGCTACAAAGCAAAGGATGGAGGTCTGTTTACTTGAATCCATCAAGGCCTCAGTTCTTAGGTTCCGCTACAACGAATCTAGATCAAGCACTCATTCAACTCTCCAGATGGACTGCAGGGCTTCTTCAACTTGGTCTGTCCAAGTATTGTCCTCTTTTTTACAGTACATCAAGAATGCAAATTTTTCAGCAGATGCTGTACTCGTCGATTTCATTCTTGTCCCTTGAATTTCTGCCGGTTTTATGTTTTGCTATCGTTCCCCCTACTTGTCTCTTCTATGAAATCCCTTTATACCCTAAGGTAATTTAGCAGTCAAATTAAATTTAACAGCCTACCTCAATTTCATATTATTTGCAACGATTTAACATAAAGTGTGTGTAACAAATATGTCTAATCGTTGCAAATAATAAGAAAAAGAGGTATATTACTAAATATCTTAGGTAGAACACACCAATATACTCATTTTGATTGCTCATATCATATGTGAATGTAGGTTTCAGATCCATTCTTTGTAGCGTTTGCTTATGTATTCATATCATCACAACTGAAGCACCTATATGAGGCTATTATCCTTAGCAGAGGCTCAATAAGCTCTTGGCTCAACGAGCAAAGGATATCGATTATAAAAGATGTAACAAGCTATGCTTACGGAACTCTAGAGTGTGTCATGGCAAAGTTGGGAATCCGAGAGGCAAGTTTTATACCTACAAATAAAGTTGAAGATGATGATACAACTAAATGGTATCAACTCGGCAAGTATGACTTTCGTACATCATACGTGTTTCTTGTCCCGATTGTGACCTTAGTTACATTAAATCTCTTCTGCTTTGTTGGTGGACTAGCAAGAGTCATTGTTGCTCGAAGTTGGGATGCATTGTTTGGTCAAGTGTTTTTCTCATTGTACGTGTTGATCATGAGTTTTCCGGTGATTGAGGGTATGTTGTTAAGGATGGACAATGCTAGTGTTCCTATATCGGCTACTTTGATATCAACTTCATTGTCTTCGATTGTCTTGAGTTTAGGATGCTTCATTTTTTTGCATTAGAAGGATGGACTTTAGCTGTTGATACGGCCTCTTTTAATAGGTCTGATTTGTTGAAGCTTTTCTTGAAATTTGTTTTGTTATTAGTCTTAATTAGGATGGTAATGTAACGTAGGTCCGTCATCACTAACTACAAACTTTGTACATTGAGTAAATTGAGTTTTCTTGAATTTGTGTACAACCTTGTTTAATCATTTATTAGCATGGAGATCCTTTAATATTGTATGATTGATTTTGAGGATGAAAATAAAAATTTGAGGTGATTTTGAGGGTGAAATAAAAGGAATATGGGTGATTTTGGAGGTAGGGGATTGTATTTAGGGTGGTTTCGGGTCATAATTAACCCTAATGATTGAGTAATTTAATAATTATTAATCATTAAAGGTATATGGTAATTTTTTGTGAAAACTCGGGAATATATGATAGAATTTTAAAAAGGTTAGGGGTATATGATGAATAAATAAATAAAAAAAACTCAAGATATATTGGTGAAAAATCCGTACAAACAGTCTCGAGCTAGCTGAATTTGCTCTAAAAAAATATTAATCAAGCATATCATGTTTAAATTTCATAGTCAAACCATATTTTAAAAAATTAAAGTAAATATAAGAAATGATAACCAAATCAATCTTTATCTTTCATAATTTCATGGACATCAAACAAACATATTTACAAGATTAATCCTACAAAATTGAAAGGCTAAGATTTACCCCTATAACAATGGCTACATTTTGTAACGGTTGACTTTTTACTCTTTACTAAGTCATAACCAAACCCATATTTTACTCTCCCTAAACTCTTCTTATTCTCACATACGGAGTAGAACACTCCATATCTCAATTTTCCTCTCATTCACTCTATTATCTCTACAAAAACACCACCATGGATTCCACAACACTACTTTGCACAGCCGGGCTCGTCTTCGGAGCACTCTACTGGTTCATACACATCCATGGAGCAGCTGAACAGAAAGGCAAACGACTCATCCATCTAACCGGCGGCGCTATCTCTGGAGAAAAGATCCAAGAGAAGTACCGCCAATACTGGTCTTTCTTCCGCTCTCCTAAGGAGATCGATACGGTTGAAAAGGTTCCTGACTTTGTCGACACGTTCTACAACCTCGTAACGGATATTTACGAGTGGGGTTGGGGACAGAGTTTCCATTTCTCTCCTTCCATCCCCGGAAAGTCTCACAGGGAAGCCACTAGGGTACATGAAGAGATGGCTGTGGATCTAATCAAGGTTTCCCCTGGGAAAAAGATCCTTGATGTTGGGTGCGGGGTGGGCGGACCTATGCGGGCGATAGCCGCCCACTCCCGCACTAATGTGGTTGGGATAACTATTAATGAGTATCAAGTTAATCGTGCTAAAATGCACAATAAAAAAGCCGGACTAGACTCACTTTGTGAGGTAGTCCTTGGCAATTTCTTAGAAATGCCTTTTAACGATAATAGCTTCGATGGAGCATACTCTATCGAAGCTACATGTCACGCACCAAAATTAGAAGACGTGTACGCTGAGGTATTACGGGTGTTAAAACCCGGATCCCTCTACGTGTCGTATGAGTGGGTCACAACTAAAAAATTCAATGCTAACAATAGTGAACACCGTGACATTATCCAAGGGATCGAGAGAGGTGACGCGTTGCCGGGGCTTAGGAGCTACACTGACATCGCGGCTATAGCGAAAAAGGTGGGGTTCGAGGTGGTGGACGAAAGAGATTTGGCAACAAAGCACCCGTGGTGGAACCGGCTTAAAATGGGTCGGATCGCGTATTGGAGGAACCATATTATGGTAACGGTTCTTGCTGCCCTAGGAGTAGCACCAAAAGGAACGGTGGATGTGCATGATATGTTGTGTAAGACCGCTGATTATCTTACACGTGGCGGCGAGGCTGGTATATTTAGTCCCATGCATATGATCTTATGCAGAAAACCTATTGATGCTAATTGTGTGGACAAGTCGGATGCTTGATTAATGTACTAGTATGTTTGATTTCATTTTTGTTTATGATCGGTAGATTAATTCAAATAATAAGGCTTTTAGGTGGCTAAGTTAGCTATGTTAAAGTTGTTTAATTTAATTATTAAAGTTGTTTTTAAATTGTTCTTTAAATTAGTTTAATTTGAGTTTAATTTATATCTTTAGCGTGATTGATTAATTCCATATCTGCATAATATTTTGGTATTATATGAAGAAATTGACTGTATTTTAAATTTTAGAATGGCAATAGTCTTCTTAAAATTTGATGTTGATTCCTCAATTTTAGGATCTTTTCATTGAAGCTGTTTGTGAGTTGTTAAATTGCTACACCGGTAAAATCTCGTTGTGAATTTATTTATTTATTTATTTATTTTTACGAGTAATAAAATCCATCAAGTTAGATACAAATTATTTACGGTGTGTTTGGTTTGAAGGAAATGGAGGGAAAGAAAGAGAAGAGAAATGGAGAGATGAAATATCTTTCATTTGGATAACAAATGAGGTAGGAAGGGAATCGAAGGGGAGGAAAATAGAGGGATTAAATTGTAGGAAATGAAATTAATCCCACTATCAATGGAGAGATTTGGAAGGAAAACTCACTATTCTCCCCTCCTCTTCTCCTCCCTCCCTTTCTTTACCTTCCCATTTCTTTATCCAAACACACTGTTAACTGATTGGGAGTTGGTTGGGGAGGGGGGGGGAGGGGGGAGAGAGGACTATTTTATGAAAGCACGTGAGGTGGTCAACCTTAGAAATAGGGTCAAGTGCTCGGAGCCTCGGAATTCGGCCTAAGGTGTAATCTTGCAATAAATATTAACTAAAGTGCACAAAAATAATATGGAGTAATAATTTAAAAGGTGGTTTCTAGCAAATTTTCCATTTTACTAAAAATTATAAAAAAGTTGTCATTTTGAATAGAGCTGTTAAAAGCTGACCCGACCCAAAATACCAACCCAAACCTTATTATTAACCGACCCGTCTGAACCCGAAAAAATGGTGACCCGAAATCTGATCTGACCCGATTTGAAACCAACCCTAGAACCAAGTTAACTCGAGTATCGGAGACCCGAATCCGAACATGAACCAACCTAGAGATGACCCGACCCGAATATAACCCGTAAATTATTGGCCTGAACCGAATCTGACCTGAACCGAAATTGACCCAAACCCGTTTTAACCCGTCAAAACCCGAAATTTAACCATGCCTGTTCCTAACCCGTTCTGAATTTAATCCGACCTGTTACTGACCCGACTCGAAATTCAATCCGACCTGTTATAAACCCGAGTCGAAATCAACACGACTTGTTATTGGCTTGATCCAAAATCAACTTGACTTATTATTTTATACATCTTTATTATTGTAGATATTGATTAGCTATATAAAGATATATGCAATATATATTGTAATCTACTTGTAAAGTCATTACTTCGTAAGGCTAAAACTACTCTATAATTATTTTGAAAGTATTTTGTCTTTACCTGAATCGACCTTGCAAATTATTGACTTGAAATGAACCCGACTTGAACCTAAGAATGATCCGACTTGAATATAACCTGCAAATTGTCGACTTGAACCGAACCTAATTTAAACCCGAGAATGATTCGACCTCATTATAACTCGCAAATTATTTACTTGAACCGAACCTGACTCGAACCCAAGAATGACCCTAATCTATTTTAACGCGTGAAAACCCGAATTAAACCCGACCTATTATTTACCTGACTCGAATGTAACCCGACCTAAACCCGACCCAAACCCAATAAGATATATGACTTGACTCAAGCGTGACTCAACCCAAACCCGAACCCGAACTGCATAAGTTACGATATTACCCTGAGTTGGCCCGACCTATTTACCTGAATTGACAACTCTAATTTTAAAAGGTACATTTTGAGAAAAATCTAAACAATATCCCAATTGATTAGTATATTTTGTCCAACGTATAAATCACTAAGCTGATTAAAATATTAAGTGAATAGTGTAAAACTCTAAACATTGTGATTAAAAAAGAACATAAATAGTATATTACTTTATAAAGGTAAAGTCGGATTTGAATCCTAAGTAGAATCCGAGTCCGAGCCTTCTTCAAATTGGAGTTGGATTCAGATTATTTTTTCTCTGATTTGATTGGAATATTTTCTTCATATCAGATCAAACTATGATGCATATTTGATGTTTGTGAATGTAGAAAGGAAAACTTTTGTATAAATCCGGTTTTCATTAATTTACTGTACATCGAGCACACTTTTGTCAGATTTAGTGTCACTTTTGTCAAATTTAGTGTCACTTTTGTCAAATTTATCAATGAAGCATAAATAACTCTTATATATGTCAGGGTAACTTTTGTGCGTTTTAGTGTAACTTTTGCACATTTTATTATCACTTTATAACGGATGTTCAGTAATTTACTGAACATCCGTTTTATTTAAAAGTTTGTCATGTGGAAATTATACCAACATTGAGGTCATAGACTATACATCTCATGTACCTCAATATCAAAATTGGCCCAATTTATGAGAATTGAAAACACAAAACTTGACTAACCCAAATATTAAAGCCCACCTATAATAAACTCGATAAGGTTCCCTCTTCTCATCCATTCTTACAAAGATAAGAAACATTTCAATAACAAGAAAAAGCAAAAATGGCGACGCTTTCATTGCTATCAACTAGTGCAGGAGCAGCCATAACCAAGCGTAGTCCTTCAGCTTCCCTCACTTTTCTCACTGGTTCAAGAACACCCACAAAAGCTGTTTCCTTTAATGGCGGTTCAACTCGTTCTGGGTCACTCCATTGCTCCTTTTTGGCTCCTTCATCTTCACTCTCTTCCTCCTTCTCAGGTGTTTTTACTTGCCTTTTTCTGTAATATTTCACATTTTTAACTATAATTTGTTTCAATTAACCAAGAATTTGTTAAATGTGGGTGTGTAAATTTAATTTGGGTTCTTTTGTTTGTGGATTAGGAATTGTGGGTAAATTTTGATGTATTGTTAAATTGATATCTGCTAGCATAGATTGTATAATCTAGGCCTTTAAGGTAGTATCCAGGATTGAATTCCGTCTACATCATTGTCGTTTGTGACTCTCTAATACTCCAACAAAAGGTGTTAATATATGTGTGTTAGCAGGTTTGGCCTAAAATGTAGTAGCGGAAATGTGACTTTGTTTTGAATTTTTGGGTACTTTAAAACCCTGAATTTTATTATTGCATTTTTTAGCCTTGCAAATGATTGTTGTCTCACTTATATGTGTTGAAAGATGGAGGTTTAAGAGTTTCTTTGCATATTATAAACTACACTCTGGCTACAAGCTAAAATTGCAATGTCACTAATTTATACCTGTTGCCTTTAAGTCAAGAGTGTGAACTGGTGGTTAGGTTTAGGAGAAAGAGCGCGAGATTATGGGTATTGATAGGAGGATGGATAGAGCATGGCCGTCTTCTTGGATCAATTTGAATTGTTTGAGTGTCATATGATAAGTTTGAGAGGTTTGGGGGTTATTGAAACAGGTTGCAATTAAGAAATCAAATAACAATGCAATTCTTTAGAAGTGTAAACTATTCTTGAAGTCTTTTGTTCAACAATTTACAGGCTTGTTTGATAATACTATATTCTTGAAAGAGGTGGTGAGAATCTCACTTTCTTACTAGTTTCCCCAGCTGATTAATATTCTTGGATGAACATCGGTATTATAGCATAATCGATTGACATCCTGTTTTTAATGGGACACTAATGTGGTGAGGTCCATGATGGATGCCTCAGTCGGCCAGGAACAAGTACATTTGGATTATTTGGGAGGGTTTCCTCATTTTGTCACCCCTCAATCAAATGCAGGGTTATTTCTCTTTTTTGGGTTGTGTCTCAAGAGCGCTCATGTCTCATACTAAAATCAAAACGTCTTCTTCAAATCAATTCATTCATAGAGCAATAAATATGTGATCACTAATTTTATCAAAAAAAAAAAAAATTTTGATCACTAAATGAATGTTGAAGTATGTAAGGATTGGCTTTTTAGTGGATCGTATTCAAATAATTTTGATTTGTTTGTTTACTGAACAAATGTCTCCTACTTACCGCCAGAGATGGCTTAGTACCAACCTCACAGGCAGCAAACTAAAAAGTTTAGCTATGCCTGACAAATCTTCTGCATTCCCTACATAGAAAAAGGTTGTCTGTGGAAAAAACTTAGTATCCATTTATATAAAAAGATCCATCTTCTCTTCCAATGGATCAATTACTGGTGTGTTGTTTCAGACAGGATTAAAATCCATGGCCATCATTTTATTAAGAAGTTTCACTTGGGACATTAGGAAAGTTAAAGCAGCCTTCAAAAGCTAGAGCTATCTAGTCTGCTTTCGCCATTTGGAACTGTCTAGTTGTTGTGGCACATTGCTTAGCTTCTCTGGTTTGTTCAAAATTTCAATTGACCAAAATGTGCTTAGAATTACACTTTTAATGTCAATTTTTTGAGTTAATGCACATCCATGATTTGCCTGCATTCAATGTGATGATTAACTATGAAAGGCTTTTTGCTAATTACAGGATTGTCCTTGGGATTGGACTTAGCATCAAACACTGGAGTCGGTACTGATAGATGCCGCAGATTCGTGGTGAGAGCTGGGAAGGCAGCTCTTTGTCAAACCAAGAGGAACAGATCCAGGAAGTCATTGGCTCGGACACATGGTTTTCGACTGCGAATGAGCACTACTAGTGGAAGAGCTATTCTAAAGCGTAGACGTGCCAAGGGACGCAAAATTCTCTGCACCAAGACAAACCCAAGCAGCGGGAAACGAGTCAGTACTTAAATATAAGAACTGAAGGATGTAAATTTTTGTGCCTGTAAACTTTTCTCAAATTATTTCTTGTAAACTTGTCCTTTGAATATGAAGCCTTTTGTTTTCCTTCCTTGTAAGTTCATGCTTCCCTTATTCTTAGAATCGTGTTAATTTTTATAAAAAACAAATTAAAATTCAATTAGCGCTTTACACCTCGATGTTTATTACTGTTAACCATAAATCTCTTCTTTGTTTAATCCAAAAAAAAAAAAAAAAAAAAAAAAAAAAAAAAAAAAAAAAAAAAACTCTACCTTGTCACACAATTAGTATAGATGAAGTAAAGATATATCACATGTATTAACATGTGATATATCTTATATTTAGTGGCAATTTTATAAATAAATCAACAAAATTCACAATCAACACAATATTTTCGTCAATAAATTTACATTTATAGGAACTCTATTTAATAAAAGTTGTTGACTTATTTAAAATGTTCTTGATAAACATCTATTTTGTTTATCATAAAGATCAACTTGCATTTTCTCTGGGTATTTTGGTAAAATTTTGCATATGTTAAAAAAAAAAAAATTGTAATTATTTACAAGTTTGTCATTGAATACGTAAAGTACAACTACATAAATTTGAGTTATATTCTAGGATTTTCTCGACATCGAATGCAAATATATAAACAATGTTTTATTACAATGCTCAAACTCCAACATTCTTTCTAGTCTTGGGCCCTTGGCAGTTGGCACCATCATACTAAATCAACTAATTCGAGTAACAAGCAAAGGACAATCACCTATCACTGAATTGAGCACTTATTATGCAAATAAATATACCAAGTACTCTGTAAAAATTATCAAGCAAACAAATAGCTTGCATCAAGAATTCAAAGGTAAAGGGAGATGATCATTACATACAAGAATGAACATCCTAATTACAACAAATGGTACTTTATAAAGTTGCACTTTTCCATGGGATAGCCTATATGGCGTTGCAGATTTACTGGCTCACTGCTTGCGAAGTTGCGATCTAGCTTGCCAGTTGCTCAGATGGTCCCTGATTAGCTGTTATCCGTACGATTTAATAGCTGGGAGGCCTGGAAAAAAAAAATGTATTCTTCTCTAAAAGCTTCTCACTTAAATGCATACCAAAAAATAAAGTCCCCGCCTCTGAATGCCAAAATATAGCAACTTGTAGCTCAAACAATGCCATTGCAACCTGTATATTAGTCATGATCAAAGATATATCAGCAGAGTTACTGAACAGGAAATGAGCAAACTAATTTTCATGGACTTAATAAAACTAAACCTCGTTGATGAATGATGCATACCTCAGTAAGCCCTCCAACTAACGGGGTTAAATGTTACTTCTTATAACATTTGATCTAGGGCCTAAGTACATCAGCCAATGTTTGAATTAATGAGTTGGGGTCAAAGGTTATACCAACTTTTGGATCCTCCAATGAATCAACGGTGACCTGCCAAAAATACAAGAATAAAAACCTAATCTAGGATTGCACAAGAGATCTTAAGGTAAACATATTCCAGCAATAGCCAATAACAGATATGAGTAATTGGCATGCTTAAAGCTACCCTTGACTCGAACCCTCAACTTTGCAAGACGGAATGATGAATGTACAGTTAATATACCAGTGCACTAGCAGAAGCACTTTGGATGCCATGAGCCAACAAAGGCCACATACCACTTCAAAAAAAAATTAACAACTGCTCCACACGTAGTAACATTTTCCTCATGATTAAAGATCCAGCATAAACCTGCACCATTAAGGCAACTTTTGCAAGATAGAAGTCGCCTGCTATAGAATTATGATAAACAATGTATTGTGGATTTGTGATGGATCCTCATATACTCGGAATCAATTTTACAAAATAATTCTATTCAATTTAGTGGCACATTACCCCTTTACTCATACTCCGTCCCTTTTTGTTTGCCTTGCTTTCTTTTCTGGACCATCCCTTTTGAGTTTTCCCGATACTCCTATCACTTTAACTAAAAAGGTAAAATAACTTTGACGATAAGTTTCCACTATGTGATGACACACAGGCCTAACTAATAATCTAGATCAATGAATTTGTCAAATCTTGGAAATCTCTCAGATAAATAAGCTAATACTCTGGGGCAGCTTCTTCATATGTGTGCAAGATTTTGAAGCACCATCATCTTTTGTAGAGTGGGGGGGGGGGGGGGGGGGCAGGGAGAGTTAGGAGGAGAGGGAGAGGGAAAAATATCAATTAGAAACCAGTACATTGCAAGTGAGCCTACTGTAAATGCTATAATCTGCTTAGTGCTCACTGCTCACTGCAAGATGCTTTAATAATATATAATAACTCACCACATTTAATATTCCTTGGTCCTTCAAGGCATTTAAATCCACTGGAATTTTACCATTTCTGGGCACCAAAATTGTATTTACATATGCACTTGGCTGCACAAAAGAAACAATGTACCAATTTTGAAATCTAATTAGTACAAGGGAGTACTTTCAAGGGAATTTGACCATATATTACATAAATATTTGTAGGTTATTATAGATCAAGTAGTCACCTTTGAACCAAAAACATCATATTTGTGTTTATTTTAACGTCCAGCAAAAATGAACTTTCAGATACCATATATGATTCCAATAAAGCAGGACTGAACAAGAAATTCTAAAAGAAATATTAAATAATTTCTTTTTGTTCACAAATTCATATTATTATTTCATATTTCTTCAACCAACACAGATACGGTATGGAAATGATACTGCACACTCATAGGGAACATTCTTTTCTATACTTATCTCACTGAGAGAGAAAGTTGTTCAAGAAAAGGTTTAGAACTTCATATCAATGAAAAGACTACACAAATGTTCCTTCAAGTTGAGGGAAACATGGTTGGTCAAGATGAGGTGCGACAACGGTCTGCACAACAATTGTTTCAATTCTCAAATAGTCATGTCACAGTCATCTTATCGAAACAACCTTGTAGAATATTCAAGACTTACCATATAAGAGAAAGTTTGTTACATGCATATGCTCAATCATGTATTTGAAAAATTCTCAGTATGGAAGTTTTGATGATATTTATCATATTATTTGGTCTTAGCTTAAGTCAAAACAATGAAACCTAAGAGAAATCTCCTATTATTCTGTAAAATCCCACATAGTCCTATGATATGATATTTGTATCAAACTTCTCCTAATTAATCAGTTCTTGAAAATATTAAGTTTTAGTGGCAACTCTAGTTATTCTGTAATGCCCTACCTAATCCCATGATTGAAACCTAAAAGGTAGACATATGCAAACCGAAAAGGTTGAACAACTTAATTTTAAACCTATTGACAGAGCTTGTACTGACGCCACAAAATAATTAAGGAACAACAATAATACGTAATGTTGATCCTTTTGACTTTCACCAAACTATGACTAAGCAATAAAAGAGAAGTATACCCCATTCACTCACTTACAAGATTATCAAGACTATATTTGGAATTTCCATGAGTTCTATTAAGAGCATCAGTGATTGCAGTCACAAAGCATGAAGCTGAGAATCCACTTGTTTCTCGGTCATGTGTCCCATTTAAAAAAAGTATCTGCACACAAATAACAAAATTCAGCACCTAAAATAAAATGTACAGCCAGCATCAACAGTTGATCAATCCAATAGACCAATACTCCCACGGGGGCGGACACCGCAATTGCTCTAATTTCTTACATTACTGCATGTTGTTAGAGGTATCAATTTTGAGATGAATCATACCTTAGGACAAGCCCTTGAGGAAATGATTTCTCCTATCCCATTTAAAACCTACATAAAGCAATGCCTGATATAAGAGAAGAGATCAGAAATCTGACACCAAAAGTGAAAATAAACTCCTCAACAGCATATAAGAAAATAACCATGTAGAATATTGCTTCTTTTTCTGGCATTTTCATTGATGCACGAAATTATTGTATATACTGGACTTTTAGTGTCCTTTTTACCAAGACAAGACTACATGTTTAATATTAAAAAATCAGTATCATCAGTCAGTTCATTAACAGTACCAAAGGACACTACAATATATAGCTGACTGTCACCATCATAGCCACCATCCCAATTTATAAAAAAAAAAGATGGAAAATGCAACACGAATTTCATGTACTTGGAAATTGGAACCAAATAAAAAGCAGAAGAAATGAGCCAAAATACCACCACGTTTAGTGGAAGCTTGATGATAACATCATGTAAGAACTGACAATAACAATAAAACAATCAGACATTCTTTTGGTTCAAGGCACAATTTTTTAGCATCATATAAGCTCAGACATGGTGACCAATAGGAAACATATCAGCAAAAACTAGCAAAAGGTTCTTAATAGGCAACATACAGCAGATTCTCCATGTTCTGGCTTACTCCATGCTATGCATTTAATAATACTGAATAAGAAACTTGGAACGCATGACACCACAAACTGACAGCAGTAAAATGCAATTGTATGTGTATATTAGTTATTAACATGGACATCAAATATCACAAACAAGCTGAAGCTTATGTAAATAATTTACCAATGAAGGGCAGATTGATGTAAAAAGGGATCCCATGGCATAAACGATGCAATTAACACTGCGTAACTGAGCGAGGACAGCTGGATTTGGTGGAGGGAAGACCTGCCCTATACCAAGTAAATATCATTACAATAGTACCTTGCACTTCCATGACTCAAAAGATATGCATGAGCCACTTATAATAAAATTTACTGGATAAAAAAAAATTAAAATTCATTTCCATTTCTGCAAATAGTTGAATATCAAAAGTTAACAGCAAAGTAGTTGAATCTTCTGGTCAAAATAATGTAAAACCGGGAAAATTGAATGACGACAACAGTATCAATCACAGATGGAAGAATCTATGGGAAATTTTAAGAAAAGATAGCACAAAGTTTATCATATGGAAATTGGAAACCAATCACTGAACCGACATAAAATCCCCTTCATAAGCAGGCAGTGTAGTATAATAAGAGTAGCAGTTACCTCATGCAACAAATTTTGCCCCTCACTTGACATGTAGAATACCCGCTTTATTTTTGATGGAAGTGCTTGAGCAGAGCAGTAATTCTATACACAAATAACAATAGTTGACAAAAATAAGTTTTAGACAGTCTTCCATAGCATAAAAGTAATCATGACTATTTACAGAAGTATTTTCAGCAGCTTTCTCTGTTTAAGTATTTTATATATCAAGTCTAGTGCTAACAGACATCAAGATTACTGCCTTATTTGGCGTAATGTATCAAACCAAGATCGCAAATTAACTAAACCTCACCTATTTGACATTGTATGTCTTCTGTTTATTCTTAAGATATTCTGTCTAGGGATTCAGGTCAATCTTTTTATAATATCCGTTAACTAGAAAAAACGCTAAAATTGGTTAAAGTGCAGAGAACTGAGAAACAAAGAAATCTCTGGCATATACATTTCATTTATGATGCGACAAGCATTTGATAAGAGCCAATCCGCATCTAAGCATTGAATCAAAAGACATGTTAACAAACTAGACAGTCCTGCTTCTTAAGTTTATGCAACTAAAGCTTTTTCTGTTTTCGAACTACTTGTACAAGGGATGGAAATAAAAGTAAGGCAAAAAATCTAACTAAATCAAATATAAAGCAAAAATTCATATTCATATGACCACCAATATAAGGTTGGTACTTGGTAGGTTAACAATTTTGTTTTCATCTTTTTTCTTTTTTTCTTTGAAGGAGGCAAGGTTGAAACATTATATTGATCAATCACTGAGCATTAAGCATTTTACATACATTAATTAAGCACACATCTACTTCCAAAAACAAAAGAAACGGTTTACCACCAATAACATTGTATACCTTATTTACAGGATCCATTAGTCCATTGGTTGGATGAGATATTTCATTTTGACCACGAATCGTTCTTCCATCCTTGTAACAAACATGAGAAAAAGTGAGAGCCATAGAACAAAATTATGTTAAAAAGGACCAACACCTTATAGGTTAATGCATACATATTACAGCATCAAATCTGTTTCAAATAATCAATTTAATGCCTTGTTTAACTTACCTCCAACAAATTAGTAGATATCACTTTAAAGTAGTATTTAAAATGTTCTATCAGACTAGCCAGTCACTTTCTTACTTTCACTACTTTGACATACAAACATATCAAAGTGCCAGTGAATTCTGTCACAATCCAAATACAAGCATATGCCTGCCCCCGTACTAAGCAAAAAGGAAGGCCAAAGACTCAAAAAGGGTGGGAAGACATAATATAAGACCATATGAGATATAACTTTACAACTTGATTCAACAGGTATAGGATATACTATCTCCATTAAATGTTATGTGCAACTTTGGGGTATTATTTGTGAGATATAAAATATTCCAAAGTTGCACATAACATTTAACGGAGGTAGTAAGATATAAGGGTGGCTCTTATAATGGTATTATATTATGTCTGCCCACCATTATCCGCATCTAATCATTGAATCAACATATCCAACTTGATCTTCATCAAAAAAAAAAAAATTAAAAATTAAAAAAAAAAAAAAAATCCAACTTGATCAACAGGTATAGGATATAACTTTTTTAGGTTTCAATTATCTTGAGTTCTCTCTTCAGGAATTAGGATTCCGTGTATAATTAATATTTTGTACCCTTAGACAATCGCATGCTCAAATTTACAAGGCCGACCAAAAATGAAAGTAGAATTTCTCAATTCATGTGACAAATCCAACAGAGAGGAGATCCCCGCTACAAAATGAGGAAATCATATAACCCAAACTAGGAAAAACAAACCAAGCATTTTTTATGATCATACCCACAGCTCACAGCCCAGTGTCAATCTGTCATTGGTGGATATGACAGGGAGAACAAGACTTTCTTTAGGAATCTCTGAAACACGGGAAAACAAAAATATCGCTGACTCTAGCGACTGGAAGAATATCCGGGCTCCAGCGAAGAAAAAATTTCCAATGCTGCAGCAAAAAAAAATCAGCTGAGTAAGATATCATATGGATCAACTTAAACATAAACCATCAGTTGCCATGTTGTAAAACAACAATCAAACTGTACGGAGCTATATATCCGACAAAAAATTAATCAACCAAAGGTATAGTATAAACTGTCAACATTCAATCTCTTGTTGAGAATTTAATATTTTTGGCAGAATTCTGAATTTCAAATTCACCAAAATAATGACCCGATAGATACCGTTAAATGTACAAAGCATACCATATATATATTGCTCTAGTCAACAAATGTTGTCTATGTTACAACATCAAAGTGGCAACACATAGATTGAAACCCCCCACCCCCCAAAAAAAAATCAAAAAAAATTATCAAAACAGGAGATATAGAAAACTGAGAAATAGGATGCTTTCGTATATGTCTCAAGGAATAAAAAACATCAATGATCAAACATGCTTGCCAAAAAAACAGATTGGAAGAAATAAACAGAACATAACTTTACAACCACAAGTGATTCAAGTAATTGTACAGCAAAAGTCATGACTTACATAGTTACATGTTAATTCTAATTCCGAATAAGGGGAGGGGACTTATAAATGAGGCAGAATTGCAGAAATGAGAATCTGGGATAGATGTCACATAAACATGGACAAAGATTAGAAAGATTCCTTGAACACAAACATTTGGTATACCTTTTTTTTTTTTTTTTTTTTTTTCTGTGTAGGTCTACAAGGAACACTTAATATCTGATCATGATTTTGTTTTAACAAGAAGAAAGAAGCTTCCTCAGTTGCACTTTCAGTGAAATTGCATATTTATTGATTTATTCCCTTATGCCACAGATACTAAGCAGAAAAAAGCTTTAAAATCTATGTCACTACTAAAGGAAAACTCGTACCTCCCATTGCTGAAACAGAATTTCGCTTCAGATCTCATGAGAATCTGCAAACATATTTTAAGAAATTTGAAACTGTATCGTCATTAAAATATGAATGAATAACTTCATCAATGTGTGTCATTGGAAAACTTTGACAAACCAGTACAGGTGCTACAGAGATATCAAACAAATCAAATGTAATATCCACATATTTACCAACGGTAGGGATATGCAGTAGCATGAATAATACATTATTTCAACAGACAAAAAAATTTTCACACACTAGATATCGTGTTAAAGAAACTCTAAGTACTGCTATGTTTACTCTTATACATGATTGGTGTTCTTACTATTAACATCATTTTTGTTGGAATAGATGAAGAAAGAGAAATATATGAAAAAAAAATACATAAATTAACAAATTAAGGAAATTCATAGAAGATAGTAGTATTGATGCATCTAAATCATCAAACCAACATTATGTTATTTATTTTCTCATAGATCATTTTAGTAACGTCCCTTAAGATGTTATTATACTCTTTTACCAAAAAAGAAAATACAATGGGATCATTTCTATTATAATAGTCAATTCAATAATATCAAAACAAAGAAAATTGTATTTCATTCGAATATTATACAGACAAATTCAATTTCAAAATATCCACAATTCGGAAAATGAGTTTCTAGATGAACCATTGTGTTCTAACAGATAAAATAAAATTAACTCTGTAGAAGAGTTTCTCCTGGTGATATATTATACCACATGCAATGTCCTGTATGTATTTTATATCTATAACACTAATACTTCGCCTTCACACTTCAATATTATATACATTCCTTGTTACTGACAGCATGGAAAGTGAAATGGATCATGAGAAATTGTGAATTGTAAGAGGTGGAGCACCGTGCGGGGGCTGCCAACAGGATTGGAGGCAATTACCAACCTCAGTTATGAGCTAAATTCTCAATAAGGTTGTGTAGATAAGCATTCATTCTACCTGTTGCTGAAAGTAAATTAGAAAGGCTCGAATTGTTTCCCTATATGGTACCGATACTTCCTCCCATAGTGAATGCTCCCCTTCAACAATGTCATACCTGTCAAATACTTCAATTAGCATACTGATTGCTCCTATTATAGAAGTTCCAAGAAAATAATTGAGATCGACTTCAAAATAAAACAAGAGACCCTGTGTATACTAGACAGCCACTCAATAGCAGAATACTAGGAAACATTAAAATCAGGTTGCAGAAGACAAAACATAGAAAATATAACGAATTAAAGGATTTATTCTAAAAAAAACCATAGATGTTCAATTTATCAGCTATCACAATATGAAGCAATTGGCGTAAATCAAAGGCTTAGGATTTTCAACAATCGACTCTTTATGAATAAATATCAGTAATAACTGAATAAAAAGAAATGCATTAGCAAGAGAAATAACATGCATCACAGCTGATGATTCTACTGAAAAACTATCCATACCATTCTGATTTTGCATCTTTAGCATGTAGAGGTAAACGGTGACCTAATAATTGTCTAACAGCAAGAGCCTCTGCAGTACTTTCATCAGAGAGCCTCAAACATCTTGATCTTATGTCTCCAACGGCTGGACCACCTACATTACATTTTTTATCTTAACATAAGAGAGATAATGATCTGACAAGTATAAATTTAATTTCATCATTATACAGCAACCATTACCTAACATCAACTCATTTTACTTATCGCATACATGTATACACTGCTGATCACAAAAAAGAAAATGCATATGGACATGTTGAGAATTTACTGATCTTTCTTTGACCTCAAATCCTGATAATAAAAACCGATCAGAACCTTTTTTCTCCATGGAAATTAATAGGACTTTTTACTTGATCTTGTAAGTTAATTAGCATAAGTTACTGTTTCACAAACAAATGGTAACCACAAGCTGAACCTCAAGATTCTAGATTGAGTCTAATGTATTAGATATTCACTTTGCAAGTAAAAATCTCATTTGAAATAGGAATATAACAACTTGGAATAATTGCAGCTATGAGCTGAATACCATACCAAGCACACGGACAATCTCAGCTGTACTTCCTCCATCATCAGAAACAGGAAGAACGTGTACAACACAAGTTGTCAGCTTTTTCAGCTCCTCCACTACCCCATTAAAGGCAGTGCCCCCTACAGCATTTCAAAAGACAATAAAGAAAAAAAAAACGACATTTAAGAAGAAGCAGACATTTAACAGATAAACATGTGCACATCAAATATGTACACAAGCTAGGGTAGGATAAGGTTGTTAAGATGTACACAAGCTAAACCCCTACAATTGCAAGTAAGTTCTTTAACATTCACCTTATATATAAAATAATAAAGAGCATAATTCCATAAAACTGTTGATTTACAAGACGATCTTCGTATTATATCACAAAAATTAAATTGAGTGGCGGCTTAGAAGGATATTTTGATAATGACTTTTACTGTCCAAAGTTGAAAAACTATCAACTCAGACTCCTTTCAATTATGTGGAAGATGGGCAGGCAAAAGATGAATTGTATTGGCCACAAATGTCTTGATATAAAATAGTTGATAATGTGACTTGCTAGAAAATAGATAGATAGCCAACTGCATTAGAAACTGGAAACACTGCAATAGAACTAACACTAAAGAGCAAGAACCCTCAAAATCAGTAGAAAAAGCTCGACTTTATACCATTAGCCATGTCCAGACAAATACTAACATTCAACAGTCAAGTCATTCATAAACTTGTTTACGTGCAAGATCTAAACTAGGTGTAGTTGTATAATTGTGATTCAAAAAATCCCTAAAAGTCTTTCAGCCACATAAATTACAATGATATCAAAAAGCTCACACATCTATAGTTTTGAACTTTTGACTAGACAAGATAATAAAATCATATACTAATGCCGTGGTCCGAACACTTACAATAAAATAAGGCCAAACCTAAGCGCATTTCATTATCAATATCAGCGCATTTCATATACTAATGCCGTGGTCCGAACACTTACAATCAAATAAGACCAAACCTAAGCGCATTTCATTATCAATATCATTCTAATTAAAAAGTGTTTACTTGATATGCAGCTACTTCCATGGCACCTTGGACATCAATTCACTATTGTGGACAAAAAATCCACAAAATGCTTTTTTTTTTTCATTAAATCTCACTTCAACTGATCCAATAATACATTTTGCCACTAGATACCAGAGAAGAACACCCAGATGGTGGATTGAAGGGTAAAGGGTAAAGGTTAAGCTGATGAAGATTGTGGAGAGGCAAAGTTAGACTAGTTGCTAGGAGGAAAAGGGGGGTGGACTGTGGACATAAAAGATTATCACAGTTTTTGTTTTTACCTATACGATAAGAAATTTTATTGCTCTAGGTTTTGTAACAGCAGGAAGTTGCATCAGTACGACATATCAAAGCCGTTAAGTATGCCAACCTCCGAAAATTTTTAATCTAGCCAGCAAGGTATAATCTTCAGACAGTGTTTTAGCAAATTACAAAATAAGGTGATGCATTAAAGTCCTTGGATATCAACAATCAAGAAAAGACTACTAGGCAGTGTTAACTAGCTTTGCCGTTAATAAATAAAATTGGCCCAGTTTGGCAATTAGTATTAGCTGATTATGTTAGTTGTTTGTGCAAAAGGGTTGGGTTAATAGATGTACTTTGATAATAACTTTATTGTGTAAAATGGCCAACAATCCTCTCTCCCAATCCTCTCTCAACCAAATACCCCTATTAAAGGCTTGGACTAGTGAAACTTCTCTTTTGTCTCAGAACCTCTAATGTTGCCCCAAACCTCTTTCTGTTCACCACTAATAATTGCCAGGATTTGGGAGAACTTCATTACTTCCTTAGTAACACTCCTTAGAAAATTAGTCTTGCCTAGAGATGTTAACAATTCACAATACTCCTCCATTCATCTTAAGACTAGGCAAACCATTCGAAAGTTGCACTGAAAATTTTAACTTTCAAGTGACTAATGATACATAATTAGAAAACTCAATGAAGCGGATAGATAGTATGGGTGTATTCTTTTCCTCAATCAACCCAACACCATTACACCAACAACAAACAATCAACCAAAGTGGTAAAATTAGGAATGTTACGAATCAATCCTTGGCTATAAAAGCATGCAACAAAACCCTTGAGAAGCTAAATTTTCTCAAAATTCAGTACATATACAAATTCATACAGCACTAGTGAGGCTCCTAGCTCCTTCTAAATTCCAATACTATGAAAATGGGTCATACATCAATGAGAATAATCACACAAATCCCAAAAAATTTCATGGTAAATTACAATCCTAAATCAAATCACTCATAACATCAACTGTATTAAAGCAAAATAACATTACAAAGCGCAATAACTATATACTCCATAAATCAATCCAAATATAATTGTCGCATTACTAGTTCATATAACACGATCAATGTATCTATAAATCCCATAAAAGGGAGTAATCAATAAATTACGAAGAGAAAAGGGGAGAGAATTCTTACCAGAAAAAACAAGTAGAGAAGGTTGAGAAGTGGTAGAAGATTGGGAAGGAGAAGGAGAGGTTGAGGAGGAAGCCATTAATGGAGAAGATTGAGAATTACAAGAGAAAGTGCATTTGAATCTAATGGGATTGCTAGAAATGGTGGATTTGAAGTGGAAGGAAGAAGGTAGGAAAGGTAAAGGATTGCAAAGGAGAGAGAATGAAGGGGAGGGTCCTAACAAAGTGTCCGCCATTTTTATGTGAAAATTAAAGAATGGTTGTTAGTTCACTTGAATAGTTTTGCATACCCCAACTATTTGGGAGCTTGGATAACGCTCTTGTCCTATACTTTCTCGTTTAGGGTCATGTATTTTGAGAAAAGCGATGTTAAAAATGGACTCGACTTAATAATCTGAGTAATCTCAACAACGATGTATTCGGCACATGCTTGATTAATGGGTGGATGAAATTGGCGACATGTATTCTAAATCGAATCCAACCCAATACTAATCAGTAATTACTTAAACCTGATAGTCTGATACCCTATGATTAACGTGCAGCCGACCTTGAGTTAAAAGACAATTGATTTGATCAAACCTGTTTTGGTTGTTGTTTCAATTAATTTGACATATAAACATTATGAATCAGTCGGGAAAGGTTGGATTCAATTGATTTTTTTTAGGAAAAATTAGAAAAAATAATCCCAACTTTGTCTAATTTATGTAGAATAATCCCAACTTTCGTTAATACTGGATTATCCGAACTTTGGGGAGTCTTCTTTTTCTTCAATCCCAAATACCGGTTACCGGTTGAATGGGTTAATTTTATTTTATTTTGTTAAAGTGACACGTGTCACAATTTAATTGGTTAAAAATAAATTAAAAAAACATAAATTAAAAAATACAAACCCCACCAGCCAAACCCCAACCACCCTGCCAATCCGATTCCGACTACCCGCCCAGCCCAACCACCTCCCTCGTCGGACGACCGAAATTCCCCCACCACTGGAGTCCCCGTCCCCGAAACTCCCACGCCACCAACCAAACCCAAAAGCCACCACCACCGCGACACCTTTCCTCCACCATTGCAGTCCCCGTCCCCGAAAGTCTCACGCCACTACTCTCGAAAACCCCAAAACCACCAGCCCCAATCTCGAAAATCCCTCCAAAGCCACAAGCCCCACTCGAAAATTGGCTGCGATTTCGTTGGCTCCGGTTTCGTGGCTACGGCTTCGTGGCTACGATTCCGTGGCTGCGATTTCGTGGCTGCGCCTCCGTGGCTGCGATTGTGGGGTTACGGTGGTTGGGGGTCTCAGTGGTTGCGTCGGGTTTTGGGGAGAGGGGAAAATGGCGACTCAATGGGTGGGGGAGACGCGGCGGGCTGGGTTGTGATGGTGGAGGTTAGGGTGTAAGATGGGGTGCGGGCGGGCTGTGGTGGTGGAGGTTAGGGTGTAAGATGGGGTACGGGCGGGCTGTGGTGGTGGAGGTTAGGGTGGATCGGTTGGGGAAGGGGGAGCTAGGTGGTTTTTTTTTTTTTAATATTTGGACCAATCAGGTTTGACACGTGTCAAGTGACCTGATATAATAGGTCATTGACTTTTGTTGACCGGTTTGGGATTGAAGAAAAAGAAGACCCCCCAAAGTTCGGATTATTCCAGTATTAACGAAAGTTGGGATTATTCTACATAAATTAGACAAAGTTGGGATTATTTTTTCTAATTTTTCCTTTTTTTTATATATGCTATTTAAAGATTAGAGTGTTGGTTGAATTCAACTCTAATTAACATAAGGTCATGCGTTTTTTTCTTGAAAGAAAGCAAGGGAGAGCTCAACAAGGTTGAGGACACCCATGTATAGATTCAGTGTGGTTGCCAGTTTTTTTTTCCTCCTTTCTCTCTCCAAAACCCTAGCCCCAATCCTGTTTCTTTATTGTTTTTTTAGGTTTATAATAATGTTTCCTCCTTTTGGGAGGAACTTTTCTCCCTCGAAAGAAAGGGTTTCCGATCTCCTTCGAAAGACAAGAGTTTTTCGACCTCCTTTGAAAGACAAGGTATATCTCCTCTTTTCGTGGGAGAAATTTCTTAGTTTTGAATCCATGGTAGCAGATCTAATGGATTATGGTGAAATTATTTCGTTGGTGAAAAAGTTATCAAGTTTTCGAATACGAACAGATGAATCAGAAGGAAAACATCCTCACGGCTACAAAGGATCGTTAGATTGTCTCTCCAATAAGGCTGTAATTTTTAGCGATATAAGCGAGAGATGCTCTGCAATGCAAGATCTACTCGACGATCGTAGTTTATATGAAGGAAAATTCTATTTGATTCAATATCTTATGTATTTGTTAATGTTGAATATTTATTGTAGATGTCGTATGACTTTTAATCAATGAAATTTTTTTGCTATTCAAAAAAAAAAAAAAAAGGTTGAGGACACCTACAAGGTCATGTGTTTAATGATTAATGCTCATAATTGTTAATTTTTTGTGAGAAAATAATACGCGTGATCAATAATACGATGACATAGTACCACATCGTAATAACGACAGGTGGCAGGATGAATTAAGAATAGTATAGATAATGCTTTGCATAATCAAAGTTAATTCATAAATAGTAAAAGTTCCACATGTTGCAATCAACATATATAGAATGAATTGAAGAAAACATATTTATTTTTTTTATTTTTTTTTATCATATAAACAATTCAAATTTACAGCCAAAGTAATACACAAGTCCTCTTCAATACAAATTAAACTATAACCTCTGCCCTGTATTAAGTTTCTCTAAGCAAGAGAAACAAACTGAGGTTTTAAAAACTATGTGCAAATTGAGCCATTCTTGAATCCCAAAATTTCATACTAAAAACTCTTTGAAAATTAATCTCTTAATCAATAAGGCAAGCTCTTAGAACTTGAACTAATGACTAAGGACTTAAGCTTATAAGTCTCCCCTGTAGCATTTGCTCTTCTAGTAATCACCTCCATATTTTTATGTAAGCTTTGTTGTACCATCTTCTTCATCAACCTCTTCCCTTCACTCGTTTCGCCTTCACTCATAGGCGATCCCGGTGTAACGAACCTTGTTTGTGGCCCGGAGTGCGGTCCAACCCTAACTTGTCTCTCATCTTTGAACCATTGTAACAATTTTAGGGCTCTTTTTTGAGCTAAAGGGCTCCCCAACAAGGCAAGTTCTAGTAAAGTATGTACAATTCCTGATTTCGCCATCTTGTCTCTTTGTTTCGAGCTTTGGTGAGCTAAGATCATTAATAAATATGCTGAGAGCTCTTGACATTTAGGCATGTTATCCCATGTTAGTATCTCTATCAAACTCTCTGGCATCATCGCGCTATCTTCTAAGGCCTTTTTTCCCATCATAGTTACCACTAAGTTTCCCATTGTTGCTAGAGCTTGCTCCGAAATAATTTCCCTAGATGAGGATAGTAGGCTTAAGAGAATGTCCACAACTCGATTTGAGATCAATGGTCCTGAGTTCTCCAACATGGTTGAGAGATTGTGTAGGGTGCCAAGGCATGCTTCTTTCGAATTTTCGGAGGTTATCTTTGATTGAAGAACGTTTAGTAAGAACGAAAAAAGTGTGGATTGGTTGAAAGGGAATTGAGAGTTTAGTAGTGAGGATATGGACAAGAGTAGTAGGGAAAAACCATGGCTAAATTGTTCATCTATTTCTTCAATATTTGATGGTAGTTTTGTTAAGATTCCAGCCTCTAATATCAGAGCTTTGTTCCTGCAAATACAACTCAAATTCGTTAGCATGCATGCAAAAGAATAGGTCATTTGACCTTTAAACCCAATATATATATGCCGCCCTAGCTTATTACTTGCTTACCATACTTCTCAAAAATTCTACAATATGTTGGACAGTTGATAAAGAAAAAAAGATTATCAATTAAGTATGACTTGTAAAGATGTATAGGAAAAATGTTTGTATGTTTAATGTTTTTATTTGAGGGGTTTGGATTGGGGTTATTCGAGGGCTTCACTCGATTAAAGATTACTCAGTCAGGGGTTACTTGAGTTTCTCTATCAAGCCACATATAAAATACTATGACTCGAGTAACCCCTGACCGAAAAACTCGAGTAACCCCTGACATATCAATCTCAAGTAATCCCGGAAACTCAAGTAATCCCTGACCAAGAAAATCAAGTAACCTCGGAAAACTCAAGTAACGTAACCCCTTACCGAGAAACTCAAGTAATCCCGGCTGAAAAATTCAATTAACCCCTACCGCACGGTACAACACACCGCATATAAAAATTTGTGTTTCTTGTATTTGTCTTATGCATACATATTTTTGTTTAGTGTTTGTGCATACATATTATTTATGTCATGATCATCATTTAAAAAGTTAAGGGTGATAAAAAAAAATTGTTTATTATTATATTGAAATTTCAAATATTAGTTGATTATTATATAACAAAAAAAAAATTAAAAAAAAAAAAAAGGGATATTTGTATTTTGGTTTGAGCTCGTTTTGGAACAAAGGAAGCAAGGATGGAAATAACTTGTCTTCAATGAAATTAAAAATAAATCCAAGCACAAGAGACAAAATTTAAATCCAAAAGCATTAAACACCACAAACTACAAAAGTGAATAAAAAGATGGATCTATACCCTACATTAATCTACTACATTCAATTAATATTTTAATACAATATTATCAACTTACATAATTGAAATGAACCATTAAGTCCACAACCATTATATTGGTGTGGAATAATATAAGGTCATGTGTCACAGTTAAATAGTATGATCTTTCTTGGAATTATATATATTTTGATCAATAAGTCAACTAAATGCCCACAAAAAAATGACTTTAAGAGATCAAGATCAGAAAATTCATGTACACAAATGACCCGTCATCAGATCATATGATAAAGTTATTAATGATTAAATTAATTAGTGCCCTAACTTAATGATACTAGTTAAGTATGAATGATAGATATAATTATGTATGTGCTTATTGGAGTGTGCAAATGTCAGCCTGGTGGGTGTCATTCCACCACCCCAACTATTCCAACCAAATTAGGTCCTGGTGGACAGCAGCCGCACCTTCCGGTTCCTGTCATTATTCTTAACTATTTCATCTCATTCTCTCTTTAAATCTTGGTGGCATCAAAGCCGACAATGTAGACGAAATTCAATCACTAATTTTGAATACTTCATATCAACTAATTAAGGTAGTTAACATTCACATATTAATAACTTCAATTCACGGGCTTAGATACTTTATTTATACTTTATAGTTTTTAATACAACAATATAGCCTATTTATTGAAATTAGATAATACTCCATAGCAACTAAATTTTGCTTACAGTTTTATTTTCAATTAAAACATGCATCATATCAAAACTAATGAACACCGA